ATGGTTCAAGAGCAGGATCAATCGGGAAACAAATTTAAGAAACTAAATCAAAAGAATTAACAAGAGTTGACAAAATAGAGATTATCCTCTAAACACTGTTTTCTTACCCCTCTAAAATCGAAACAGTCAAATGATCATCAAGAACTAATACAAACAATATTAACAGAAGCCAATCTCTTGGATTATAAGTGAAACAATACAACATCCTATTTAATTAACACTTGAGAAGAAGATATAACAGAGTATGTTCCTCCTGTTCTGTTCCAAACCTGCTCGTGAAATGAACTTCTTTTCGTTCTCGCTGGCTTCTGTTCTATTGAGAGTTTTGAACAGACTCTAAGATTTTGATTCGCGGTTTGGTTCATGAGTGTCTAGCCGCGTCCTCATGCAACTGTGTAGTCCTCACATTAGGATCATCCTGTACAGTTATTAACATGTATTTCCATGAACAAATATGACCATTTGATATAAACAGGAAAGAAAGAAAGAGAAATATGTTATTACAACTGAAAATTTTACCCGGATATCGTAAGGAAAATTGGGACGGAAGAAATCTACTCCCTAGAAAGAAGAAAGCAAGAATTGTCATTGATTTTGTTTTGCAGTCTTGTAAAAGACTGAGATTGCTCTTGAAAGGTCTGAGAATAGGTAAGGTACCTGTCCATGGATGCCTTGCTGAGGAGTGTAGTAGCTGTCATAGCTTGGGGCTATCGAGTTCAGCTGTCGCTACAGAAACCAGCCGGGGATTTTTTTTATATCCAAAGTTAATGAAAGAAAAACAGCAGAAGCTAGTTTTACACATAGGTGTTATGGTCGATTTTCATACCAATCCTTGAATTGTCTGTTGATTCCCATAGAAATTATCGCGATTTGGCGCCATTAAGTTCAGCTGGACCTGAAAACACATACCAGACCACATTACATACAAAAACTTCAATCTATAAGAGAATAACATGAAAGTGTTTTGTGCTTAGTTACTATATTCTGCACGCTCTGCGGTGTTCCATAATAGTTTTCTATGCCAACTGTCCTTGGGCTCAACTTATCCTGCAATTATAAAATTCATATATCAAATATACTTCGGATACTCTAGTTTAAAAGAGGTTTGATACGGCCTATAACAAAGACAGACCATCTGCTGCAAGCTTTCTGGCGCTGCAACTGGCATAACCTCTTGCTCCGAGTTCACCTGCAATCCATAGTTGGGATCATAAGACTTGCAAAGCATAAAGAGTGCAAAACTAACAAAATCCTTAAGTTGTAAACAAGAAGTTACTTTTCTTTTCTTAGTTGGATTCTTTTTCTTGCCCGTCTTGCCTGCGCTTCTGCTCTGATTATCCTCCTCGATGGAAATCAGACCTTGTGTTGGTGACGTGACCACATCTGGAAGACTTCTGCCAGAAGTATTTATACCAGCACAATTTCCCAAAGCTTCTTCAATGGCAAGGAATGCAATATTGTAACTCTCTTGAGAGAAGGATGCCTCTTCATTCAGCTTTAGTGCTCGTTGGCACAAATCGTTATACCGCTGCAGCCTAGTCTGCAACTGCAGAGGTTCTCCTGAAAAATGCCGGCTTTTTGCATCTTTTGTCCACCGTTTCAATATGTACTGTGAGGGGATGGAAGAAAGATGACAACACTGAAGAACATTAAGCGTGTGTCTGCAGAGATAGCCTTTATACTCAAATAACCGACAGATGCAAGAGACTTCAGCCTTTGTTTGGTTCCATGTTACCACAAAGTCCTGCTTGTTTTCAAAATCCTGAACTCTAAAAGTAGAGCATGTTGCATCTCGATTCTCCTCCCTGGGACTGCAGGCAATTGCACCCAAAACTTCAATCTGGAATTTTTTGAATACGGCAGGAGTATAGACTTCAGAAACACTCTTCTCAAATGGCGATGGAGACTTCATTGCTGGCTGCTTGTTCCACGTTTCAGAATCAGCTTTGGCTTCTTCTTCACATCTATCTTGCAGGATTGTATCATATAGTTTCACAAATTCATGTACACTAGTCTTCTTATGCATGTACTTGTCGAAAAAAGCATTAATACTATCAGCTCTTTGAGATGCAGACATCCCTGCCAAAAAAACATCAGTCATGTAGATGGGAGCCCATTTCCTGCGGTCTTCATATAACGAATGCATCCATTGGTCTTCTTTCAGGCCAAATTTAGCAAGAATCTTCCACCATCTTCTCGCAAAGTCTTCCTCTTTCCATGATTTAAAGATGCACTTCTCAAACTTTGGTGTAAAATGTTCATGTTGCTTAACAATTTGACCAAGATTCTCAGAAACCTTCATCAATACATGCCAAAGAAAAAGGCAATGTCGAGTGTTGGGGAAGATCTCGGAAACAACAGAGTTCATAATAGGGTCTTGCTCAGTGATCAAAACCTTTGGAGCTTGTCCTCCCATCGCTTTCAGCCAGGTCTCCATTAACCAAGAAAACGTAGCAGCACTCTCGTCGGATATTAAGGCACACCCAAGGACCATATATTGATAGTGCTGATTCACTCCAACGAAAATAGCAAGTGGCATCTTGTACTTGTTTCTCACGTAGGTGGTGTCTAGAGAAACCACATCACAAAAACTGCCATAATTATGCCTGCTCTTTGCATCTACCCAAAATACATTCTTCACTCGCTGATCATCACCAAGATCTACCGCATAAAAGAAGTTGGAATTCAAAATTTGCCTCTGTGACAAGAAGTCAAGCAGGGTTTTGAAATCCCCTGTCTCCACTGATAAATTCCGACCTTTTTCAAAAGAGCTTTTCGAATCGCTTTTCAGGCTGATAACAGTTTTGTATTCCGCAAATTGCTTAGCCATAGCAGCGTATATCTTTCTAGTCTGTTCACTCACAGCTTGTGCAGGCAAAAGCTCATGATTATGCTCCCTCACAAAGCTGTGAATTACCCATTTCCCATCCGGCCTTCTCTTAACATGCATGCTGGCTTTGCAGTCGGTTTTGCCGCATGTTCGCCGACCAGCCATATTCTCAGGGTCTTGCTTGGTTGGCCTAGCTCGTGGCCGGCTAAATGATTTGTCATACTCTCTTTTGGTACCATACCTAGAGCAAGCAAACTTTGCATCAATAAACTCTCTTGTTGTTTTCGATCGACGACTGTTCTGTATTGCAGTGTTAAAACCAATAGCTCGAGAATACTCCTGGTAGAAAGAATACGCTTCACTGTGTGAATCGAATTCCATACCATTGAGAGGTTCAAGATTCACACCTTCTGTGTACTCAACCAACTCCCCCGTTGGTACACACATGCCTGCGCTGCCATCAGTATGTACGTCGACCGTGACATCCTCAATTTTGCCGATATCCATATCTTCGTCAGCATCATGAAGCTTGTGTTCATCCTGCAACACATTATCAAGTCCCCTATCCTCATCATCTTCCTTGCAGAGGTCACCTGAATGTAGTCTAAGATCGATATCCATGACAATAGTTTCGCTTTAAATCCCGAGGAAGCAGTCTTCCTGCAACACTTAAAACAAACCAAGCATGACTACAGTATTTAGGCTTGTCAAAACGTATACAAGAGAGAATCCACCTTTCTATGATGATAAATCGAACTTCCAAAAAAAGGTCTTAATCTTTTTCAGCTAATACTCGTAACAAGCACAATACAAACAAGAGAAATGAAACAAAGCTTCCAATAGAGTTATTTGTGGAAACTAAAACACGATCGATGAATTTGGACAGAGAATGTGTACGCATTAGCAGCAGGAAAAAAAGAGAGTTCTTGCAGCTAAATTCTTAGTGGTTCTCGAATCCAATTTCAAGATTGATGGAGACAAGCTGATCAAAGAGAGTAAAAACCCGTCATTTTTTGTTGGGTCACTACGAAATTACCTCGTACGAAATGGGCAGAGATTGGAAAACGAGACCACAATCGAAACCGATGGAAATTGGAAGAGAAACAGAGAGAAAAAGGCCGTGTCTTTCTTTAATCTCGTCGC